AGAGAATCTAGAAAATGTTGTGCCACCTGTTCACTGTGTTCCATTGTATGAGGACAACCAACATTCCTCTTTGAAGGAAAATTTGAAAATGTAAAAAAGATAGATGAATGATAGGCATGAAAATAGCCCCCTGTGTCACAAGCTCAGAAGACAGCTATACATTCAATTATTAAATTGAAAACAAGATCCCATTTGACATCAACTAAGAAGAAACCACAGGGAAGTATCAAGAAGTTAGCATTAGGACACTTTCCTCAAAGTGTTTTCATACATTTGCAGATGAGGACAATGAGAGAGGCCAACAATTTGACTTTCCTACATAAGACTCTTAACACATTACATTATAAAACATGACTTTGCCATTGAATGTGTGAATGTTTACATTTTCATTTACTGATTTTTACAATTAGTGCCACATGCAAAATTAAAAAAATAATGTATAAAGTGCTATTTCATGCTTTAAGAAAGCATTCATCTTCACACCTAGTTCAAGTCCTAGTCTTAAGCAGTCAGTGAAGGCTAGAGGTTGCTCTATCTACCAGTCTTGGAATATGTGTGAACACATTTTAATGTTTTTATTAGGTACTCTTATATTACCTTGATGTTTGAATCACTGGTGGCCACCCTCCATTTTAATAAGCAGGAAGTCCTGTGATGTGATTGTTCCATGGCTGCATTTTAGCCAGTTGTTGAGCAGAAATGTTGTGCTCGAAAGTAAGCAAAGTTGCTTTGCCTCTTCATTTTAAGTGAAGCCTCTTACATTTCACTGCTCAGAACAATGGGATTTCAGAGTGCATTCTCTCCCTTGGAAAAAATGGAGCAGAAGGTGCATTTTACTATTTGAAATGAGAGAAACAGAAGACAGTGAAGCTGAGTTCATCAGGCAATGTGCAGAATCAAGATCTTACTGTTTTGTTATACTTTTGCTTATGACTATTGAGTTTTATTTATTATACAGATAAACAGAATTCCCCAAACCAAAAATTGAATGTGTTTAATGCTTTAAAAAGACACACTAGTGTTATCTTTGTCCCATAGTCTCTATCTCTTTGGTAGGTGGAATCACCTAGGTTAGGGGTGAGCACAGCACCCAGGAGGGTCTCATAGGGAGCCTGAGCAAATCTAGTCATTACCACCAGAAAGGGGAAAAGATGGCAATTAACCCAGGGTCTGCTTCCCTTGGCCACTATGTTGCTAAGATGTTGTCATGGTTTGAGTAGGAATGGCCCACATAGGCTCAAATATTTTCATACTTATTCAATAGTCTTGAGAGAGATTAGGGGTGTGGCTTTCTTAAAGGAAGTGTGTCATTGGGGGTGGGCTTTGAGGTTTGAGCAGCCCAACTTTGGACCAGTGGCTCTTCTGTTCCTGCTGCCATTGGATCTGGAGTGGAACTCTCAGCTACCATGTCTGCCTGCTTGCTGACATGCTTTCCATTGTAAGGATAATGGACTAAACCTCTGAACTGTAAGCCAGACCCAATTAAATGTTTTCCATTATAAGAGTTGCTGTGGCCAAGGTGTCTATTCACAGCAATAGAACACTGACTAAGGAAGAAGTTTCAGTGACTTCTGGGGAAAGTAAGGAACAGAAAAGTTTGGGAATAAGGGTTTTGGCCATAACAGGTAGGAGCCCAATAAGACTTGAGGTTTGCCACAGGATTTGCAATGAACTGAGTAACTCAACTTGTTACAAACCCAAGTATTTTATAACATATCTTCAACAATTTTCCAAGGCTTTCTGCTTCTCCCTGGAGTCAGTGCAAACACAGGATCTGGCAATTTGATGTCTTACTTGAGCCCCTCACCCCACTGCTGCTTGGCAGAGCCATGTGGTTCACGTAAGCCATGTTGTCCATGCACTGATGTTCCTGTTCATTCTTAAGAGTATAGCAAAATCTTAACTAAAGTTATACAACCATCTGGCCAGTTCAAGACTTAGGGCTTGAGGCAGTGTTTGGGGTCTCTGCTGGTTAGTTTTTTTTTTTTTTTTTTTTTAAATGACACAAGATAGGGGGAAGGGAACCTCAATTGAGAAAAAAATACATTCATCAGATAGCTTGTCTGGAGGTCTGTAGGGGCATCTTCTTAATTAATGATTGATGTGGGAGGGTCCTTCCTGTTGTGGGCGGTGCTACCTCTACACAGGTAGTCCTGAAAGCTGTAAGAAAGGTAGCTGGAAAGAAAGGTAGCTGCGAGACTGGAAGCAACATTCCTTCCAATTGCCTGCTTATTACTAACTCCAGGTTCTTTCTTGCTTAAGTTCTTCCATGGGCAGGTTTCCTCCAATGATAGACTATAAAGTATAAGATGAAATAAATTATTTGCTCCCCAAGTTGCTTTTGGTCATGGTCTATAACACAGAAATAGAAAGAAAACTAGGACAGGTCCTCAAATTTATATTCACTCCATTTCCTCTCATTGCTCTAATTAGTAGAATAATTGTGCATAAAGAGACATCTGAACAAGAACACAAATATTGACTTTATTAATAGACTAAAAAAAATCACCTAAACACCTCCGACCAGTGTTTAGTCCTCTTGGGAAGAAGTAGACTAGAGAACATGCCTTCATATATTCTCATCCAAATTGAAGACAGACAGACTAATGGGAAAGGGGAGATTTGGTACAGAACATAGAACTTAATCTACTAATAAACATTGCAATGAAAGGGAAAAACATAGAAACAACATCCCTTCTCCATAGCTCCACGGCTGTAGGTAGAAAAGTCAGGACAGGAAGTGAAAATGTCTGTCTTCCACATCACTTTCATTGATTTAGGGAGATCCTTCCAATATAGGAAGAAGGGGTGTGTGTGTGTGTGTGTGTGTGTGTGTGTGTGTGTGTGTGATGAATATAAACCCATTCTTTATAGCTTGAAAAAAACATTGCTGATCATGACTGTTTGCATTAGTTATTTATTCACCCAAAGGGGAGGTGGGCGTCAGGGGGTGCCTCAATTTGTGAAGGAAAAAAAGTTCTGTTATCTGTTGAAACATGGTGGAAGGGCCAATAAATATTCCCTTCACACAAACGGCAGCTCACAACTCAGTACCATTTTGGGGACAGTGGCATCAGAGAATAGCAGGTTTGTTAAGGTTTCAAGCCAACTAAACGCTATGAGAGATTCAGAAAACCTGAATTGTAAATTGGGACATCAGGACACCAGACCCTCATCAGACTCAGTAAGAGAGCTTTAAAACTGAGTAATATAATAATCAAGTTCAAATTGTGTGGCACAGATTGCAATCATCATCAGGTTTGAAGAAGTGGAAGAATGTTGCAGGATAAAAATAATACAATAAGATCTTTAGGGAAAGTGGACGAAAAGTGAAACTATATGAACAAGGGACAGTTTTACAACGAGGACAGTACATGTTTGATGAGGGACAAAGAAAACTCTTGTATAGGTAAAAGAGGTGATGTCCTGTGTTAAGTACTGAGACAGAATACAGCGATCAAGACTGGATGTGATAAGTACTGACAATGTGGTAGATGTTCTAGCACAAAGATCTCTGCTGAGATGAATAGCCCTATGAACAGAATTTTCATTCTGGGCACTGAAACATTTAAAAATAGAATCATAAATTTCAGAGTGGTTTGGTCTCAGAATTCTTGAAACAAGGCATCTAATTTTGCAAGGTGTCTTATCATTCTTTCTCTTATAAAAAATATCAGGACCAGAAAACTTGGGATGGGATGGGAAGTGTTCTATTCACCAGCTTCTTTTCAAGTGAACTCCTAGGGATGACCAAGAATAGGGTAAGACAGAAGGCAGCAAGCCTCCCTGACAGGATAAAATAACCCATACCTATTGCTCTCCAACAACCACTAGGGCAGCCCTTATGGTGTAAAATGTCCAGAGTCAGCTCAAGGACCAGCATCTGTATGTTCTTTGGTAGTATCCCCAGAGCCCTGAGCTTGCTGAAGCAGAGTGATACCAGATGCTTCACAAGCATGTGTGAGCTTTTCTTCAACCTCATCATCACTTGAGGCTGGCTGGTCAAACACTCCCTTCATTATTCTAACACTAGGGATTTGGTCCATCACCTCTGGGAGACTTTTGTAACCAACTGTGTACTACCTGGTGTGTCACTTAACATCTTTTAACCTTTTGGATATTTTATTTATATTCATAAATGTGTGTGTGTTTTGACCAAATCTAGCCTCATTTCCTTCCTCTCTATTTCCTTCCCTATCCTTCCACCACTGCTTTTTCTTCTCTACTTCATGTACCCTTAAAACACACACACACACACACACACACACACACACACACACAGAGAGAGAGAGAGAGAGAGAGAGAGGGAGAGGGAGAGGGAGAGAGAGAGAAAGGAGATGGGGGAATAAAAACAAAACAAAAACAAAGCCATCCAGTCCACTTCGCACTGCCCGTATGTTGCTGACTGCAGGACCACCTACTGGAATATGGGTAGCCTCTCAGGGGCCACACCCATGAAGAAGACAGACTCTCCCTCCTCCAGCAGCCGACTCAGCCAACACAGGAGAGGGTAGGGACTTCTCCCATTTGTGCTAGAATTTGGGCTAGCTTGATTTTGTACAAATTTTTGTGCATGTAGCCAAACCACCTGTGACCCCAAGCTTCTGTGACCCTGAGCTTCTGTTACGCCAAGCTGCAGTAACCCCAAGCTTCTGTGACCCCCAAGTTTCTGTGACCTCAAGCTTCTGTGACCCCAAGCTTCAGTGACTCCAAGTTTCTGTGACCCCAAGCTTCTGTGACCCTGAGCTTCAGTGACCCCAAGCTTCCATGAACCTGAGCTTCAGTGACCCCAAGCTTCAGTGAGGTCCTGTATGCAACTACACTATCATGTCCCAACAAAAATTGACTATCAACACTTACTTATCCCTTTGGCTCTTGCCATCTTTCCTGTCCTTCCCCCTTTGATGAACCCTGAGCTTTGGAGGAGGGAATGTGATGTAAAAACCTCATTGAGACTGAGCATTCCATCTCTTATTCTCTGTTTCTCTGGACTTAGCGCCTTTTTTTTTTTTTTTTTTTTTTTGGCGATGTGAGTTTCCTTTATTGAATACAATACCACCCAGTATTTATAGTTATGAAAAAATCATAAGGACACCACCCATGGTGCACTTTAAACTGTCACTCAACCCCCAATCCACTTATAGTAACACAATAAGTAATTCGCAGCTCATCGGCCAATATCCATGATAGTTCATTTCATAAAATATGTAAAAAGAAAGAAATCTAAGGAAATACAAAAATTCAGAAAAATATTTCCATATCTAGTCATAATCTTCCAGCTTTTCTCTGTGGTCAATAGTTAATCATCTTCCATAAGGCATCACAGCACTTCCATTTGTCTGGGACATAAAACTGCTCAAAAAATGTGAGGAAACGGGGTGTCATATCCACATACTCTAAATATTTGACTTCAGTGGGCAAAAAAGGCTTCAGGACTCTGAGAATGGTAGAGGGCCCCATGGGCTACACAGCCCCATGGGGCCCAAATGGTGAGGCTCCAACAGTTGAAAAGATCCCCAGAGCGATAACGGTACTTGGCAGCTTCACTGACAATCTGATCAAAGGGAGGGAAAATATAGTAGGCAAACTGGATTTCTGCAATGGCTGTAGCATCAGTGACTGCGATTCCAATCCCAAATCCAACAAGTCCTTGTTCACACAACGGGGTGTTGAACACTCTATCTTTTCCATATTTGTCTCGCAAACCAACAGTGCTTAGGAAGACTCCACCAAAGGCAACATCTTCACCAAATATTACTGCAGTAGGGTCTTTGGCCAATGAGTTATTCAAGGCACTTGTTACTGTCTGAAAGAGGTTCATTTTCTGAGTTTGCCAGTTTCAGAGGTTCAGTCTGTTATCACCATGGCGGGGAGCATGGCGGGGAGCAGGCAGATGTAATGCGGAGGAGAAGCTGAGAGTCCTCATCTTGCAGGCAACAGGAAGTCGACTCGACTTAGCGCTTTCTTAAAAAATAAAAATCTTAGTTAAGGTACAGCTTTATCATAAAATTCAACTGTTTTCAATATACAGAATGCACTGAATTTTAGCAAATTTAGAGAACTGTGCAATCATCTCTGCATTCCAAATTTCAAACATTTCCAGCACTCCAATAGGACTCCTTGTGTCTCTTTTCACCTAACGTCTTGATTACTTGATAAGTAATTAAAAGTAAGGGAAAGATGCAAGCAGAGTCAAAGAAGTAGATTTGTACATGAACACGCTGGAGGA